GGCAATGGCCATCTTGCTCCACTTGTTTCATGGATAGAAATTGCTTTATTATAATTATGCAGGGAGTTTTACAGTTTATATGGACACTGCAATGTAAATAGAGCAGAAAAACAGAAGAAGAAAAGGAAAAAAGAAAGAATAAAGAGAAAAGAAGAGATAGAAAGGAGACAATTACCATTTTCAATAATAATGAAACAAAGTTCACTCCATACTTGGGTAGTTTGTTTGCTCTTTTATTCAATCGTTTGTTTGTGCAGTTTGAGTTGAATCGTCTTGTTTAAATGTCCAGACCTGATGGGAATGTTTGAGAAGAGAAGGTTTCGGAAGTTTTTGGTCTTTGTGGCCAATTTTGATGAGAACGACCCCAAGACCTTTGAGGGCGTGGACCCTAAAGCCACTACCATGAGGGATGTTTACAAGAAGTTTGACCTTGGCCAAGATGTCATCGATTTCACCGGCCACGCCCTGGCCCTCTACAGGACAGATGAGTAAGACTAGATGGGGAAATGAAGTAAGTAATCTGAAACCAGCCAGGCTTATTAACTCTTTACTCTCCCCTTCCAGCTATCTTGATGTTCCGTGTTTGGAGACGATCAATCGTATCAAGCTGTACAGTGAATCACTGGCACGTTATGGAAAGAGCCCCTACCTCTACCCCCTGTATGGCCTGGGAGAGCTGCCACAGGGATTTGCAAGGTTTTATTTTTATTGACATTTTTTTTCACATGTAAAAAATGCTTGGTATCACTTTACAATAAGGCTCCCCTTATAGATGGATGATAAATAATGGCATTAATTAAAGTATATATTTAAACTATAATAACAGCTTTTACAATAGTTTCTTCATTTCATTCCCATTCAGAGATTACGAGAATAAAGTAAAAAATTCCGAGAATAAAGTCATCATACCACAACCTGTTTCAAAAAGAACGTTTCGAACTCGACCAGCCTGTGACGTCTGACCAGCACTCTACAATCCTCATTTTAGGGAAAAAAGTGCTTTTTTTAAGGAATTTTAGGACTTTATTCTCATAATATTACAACTTTATTATTGTAATTTTATGACTTTATTATTGTT